AAATAATATAATAGAACAAACATTTCTGTTCTTTCTCTTGATAAAATAATTTGTATATACCTATATTTTAGTAGGTTGGATGGGCATAATATTATATGACCTTAAATTATTAATAATTGAGATGTGTACGGCTGAAATATTTAATAATCACGTAAAGTAAAAATGTCTATGCACTTTTACTTACTTTAGGATATCGAAATATTACGATAAAAATTCGATTACATTTTATATTTAAATTTGGAAAATTAGAAAGAACATAGTAACTCTTAATGTCATCCACATACTCATTTAAAAAGGTAGATTCACTGTTTTAAACTAGGGTTAGTTAATTGTTTTTCCGTATAACTAAAGTGTAGTCCACTGTCGAATGGCTTTTAAACCGTTGGTATTGGTATCAAACAAAGTAATACGAAGGTTGAGTATATTTATGGTTACTGATTTATTAAATTAAACATTGAAGAAATGTATAATATATTACACCAAAAACACTTCGTTATAACTCCGTGTAAAAAAAAGCTAAGTTAAAAAAAAAATTAATATTGATTAAAGCTTTAAAAGACGTGATATAATATGGAAATTAAGTAAAATGACATTTTATAATATAACAAATACCTATGATGACAAATAAGATCAATTGTAATGTTAAATACTTAGTCAACATATTGTTGATACATTATTAATTACTGTAAATACTGTTAGAGGTAACTTAATTGTATTAACTTAAGTATACTTCTACGTCCTGCCAAATAGTTAAACATAATATGTTGACTAAGTATTTAACATTACAATTGATCTTATTTGTCATCATAGGTATTTTTTATATTATAAAATGTCATTTTACTTAATTTCCATATTATATCACGTCTTTTAAAGCTTTAATCATTATTAATTTTTTTTTTAACTTAGCTTTTTTTTACACGGAGTTATAACGAAGTGTTTTTGGTGTGATATCAACTATTTTTAATGTTGATGTGTTAATTATCTTGTATTCTATAATAAATTATAATAATAATAATCTTTAATAACCGCTTGTCTCCCGACTAATTTTTTTTCCATAATTATCTTTTCCACCTCGAGGCCAGAGTTCAATACTTGTTGACATATCGTTGCATCTAATCCATTTCTTATTGTGTTAATAATTGATGTATAATGTGCTTGAGACATAGATGGACCATGATGGCAAATCACAGAATTTAGAGTTTATGATTGGCCATCGACCCTAATAGTTGCAACAGGTTATGAATTAATCACAAGGTTTTGTATTTTATTATTAAAATTATTCCAAAGCTGAATTAAAAAAAATAAATATTGGTGGGTATTAATTATTTTTATGTTCTGCACATGATTTGCCACTCTATTGCAAGCAATATATCTTTTTTAAGATTTTATTTTTTCATTAGGTATTATTAAGAAACTGAGTAAAATAAAGAAAGTTAAATTGTTAGGTTGTCGAAACAGCTTACCCCAAATTCTTCCGTAACTAACGCACTTGCAGAGTATACAAATAATAATAATAATTGTTATTATTATAATAGTAAGAAAACGATATGCCGAAACGATCAACGCCAAATCTCTCTTACTACACGTAAAACATTACGCAGTAATATAATAATATAAGTATGAACACGTTGCAAACAATCGAGTGTAAACTGCAAGTTACAAAATGGTTTGTTGTTAGTTTTTGCAATATTGTCAGCTGTCACCATGGAGTAATAATATCGTCCGTGCATCGTCGTAGTATATCGACTCATCGCTTATCCCAACTCTTCCGTACGCAAAATCGGTCCTAAAAGTACTTTAACATTTTTGCTTATAACTTACAAACTATCAAACCAATCTGCCAGCGAATTCTTCTGTTCCCACCTGCACAATATTTCTGATCTATTGATACCTCATACTACTTTATATGTTCAGCCGTTTGCCCTGTAGATGTTGGCAAAGAATTAACATAAATTAGGACGATTTTTCAATGTTAAAACTCGGTGTCCTGTTATTATACGTTAGTGGCTATTTCGCTATTTTTACTTCGTTTTTTATTTACTTAGCTTCGCGCCACTACCGTCGCGCTGGATATAATATATATAATTTATACAATTAATATAATGTATATAATTTATATAATGAATGCACTAACACTGATATTATGAGAGGATCTGATTAGTAAACTATACGAGGCACTGTTTTAAGGGGTGAAACACGATTGCGGACGCTTTACCTTTTTTGCAACACGATTGCGGACGATCATTATAGAACAAAAGGTCTTATGTTGCATCCGAAAAATGACACGACTGCGGTCGAAATTTAATGAAACGTTGCCAAGTTGTGCGACGCGGTCTACCAAGCCCAAATATTATCAATTTTATAAAAGTTCTTAATAACACAGTTAAAAATTGAAAATCAAAAAAAGTAAAAAACAAG